CAAAAGGTGTTCGGCCCCTTTTCTTTGGCAACACAGAAAGGAGAATTCTACTGCCTGAGGGTTATAATCCCTAAGTGCGGCCGAAGGCCGCCTACGCAGAAAGGTGTTCTATGCAAAAGGTGTTCGGCCCCTTTTCTTTGGCAACACAGAAAGGAGAATTCTACTGCCTGAGGGTTATAATCCCTAAGTGCGGCCGAAGGCCGCCTACGCAGAAAGGTGCGGATTGTTATTGAAAGAACCTATTTTATAATTGGTTTTATATATGTATGTACACGGTATTTCCATAAAAATATAAGCACATTTCCATGCAAATAATCAACTGAATTTTATTATTATACCAAATCTCTGAAACTTACCCTTTCCTGTTCGGTTGATGGAGTCATGCAGGCGGGACTAGGCTGAGCACTCATTATAATTTTCAGATTTTTTAATCGTTTCCACGTTGAAAAATTATTCACTGGAAGCGAGCTGTAAAAATTTGCAAACGAATAATTTGCTTAATTATTTGCTTTTCCCTTTTGCGATATATGCACATATGTATGTATGTATGCTGAGCAATCGGCTGAAAACGCGAAAATGTTCACAAATATGGCGGCGGCACCCGAATTGAAAGGAATTTTTTCGTGATATATATATGCATGTATATCGCACGATTCAATTGATAAATTTTAATTAAATAAGTACCTAAAGCTGGAATTAGTGTTATATTTTGTGAAAATAGCTATTTTATTCGTTTATCGCTATATAAATGAGCTTTTTTATTCCAATGCTATCTTTTTCGACCACTTGCTTTATCGCACTTCGCAATCAAGCCACATACACAGTGCCACAAAGCGACTTAACGAAAATCTTTGATTTTCACAATGCCAAACTTACTTTTACTTATTCAATTTTCAATGTATGTATAACAATTATTTTATCAAAAGCTAATTTTTATACTACGCTTTCGTACCGAACTTTGTGAAAACACAGCAATTTATGAAGGCGAAAAAATCAGGTTCTCGTTTGCTACGCGACCAACACTTTGTGCCAGTAATGCCAACTCTAGCAGTCAAACTAGAGCTGGAAAACTATCGATAGTATCGATGGTTTTTGACTATCGAAAACATCGATGATTTTGTTAGCACTATCGATAGTTTTTACTCATACATACATAACGGCCCGTCTCCACAGGCAAAAGTTTTTGCGTACCAACTGCCATTTTTATTGCCTGACATAAATTTTATCAGAGGCAATATTTGTGCGTGGGCATTTTTTATCTTGACAAAAGCCAAATAGCCATCTAATTTTTGCAACAAAAATTTGTGAAACAAAAATTCAATTTTCATTTAAGTGACAAAAACAAAAACAACGCGAATAAGCCGTTTCTCAAATTCTGGGCACGAAATGTGGTTTTTTGCGTTCCCGTACTTCTGGATTATGTTCCATTTTTGAGATAAAACTTTCGCTTATTCTCTAATTACCGGATCCGGTCCGGAATATTAGGGAAAGAACGTAATACAGCAGAGGATGCGGCCACCCAAACAGATAGCTGCTTGCAGAGGAGCCCTCGCCTAGACATGTCAGGAGGCATCTATATGAACTGACGGACGAAGTCCAGAGGTTCATTAAGCAGCCTATGGACCCGTCAGCATACCGACAGGCCCTGAACGGCATTCACAGGGACTCAGTCTCGAGTTATGTAGTCTCTAGACCTGTAAATGCCGTTCTAGGCACACAAACACCGGGAGACAAGAACAACAATTGCCCAACTTCGCTCTGGCTACTGCAGCAGGCTGAACTCTTACCTGAGTAGGTTAAATGCGGATGTGCCGAATGAATGTTCGGCATACGGAGAGACCCCTCACGACTCGAAACATCTCTTCGCATGCCTGGAAAACCCCACAACCCTAACGGCGTTGTCCCTGTGGACCGACCCCATAGAGGCTGCACGCTTCTTGGGGCTGCCGTTAGGGGAACTCGACGACAACGACTGGGATACCAAGCGATCTGGGCGGGGTTGTTGTAGCCGCTACAACAACAACAACAACAGTAGTACTGCTCAGTTTAGCCCAAATTCTGCCTTCATCGCAGCAAACTTCGCATGTTGAATTTGAAATAAATGAAACGCACCAACTTCTGTTTAGATCACTGAAGCCTAAAAGACAACAACAAAAATGTAAGTAAACAAAAGGGATTTAAAAAAAAGCAGTCACTGACAATAGCTCTGATCCAGTACTCCATGAACTTGCAGGATTTTACACGAACTTGCAGGAAGTTGCAGGAAAAATGTTCCCGTACTCTGAAATCCTCCAAAATCCTGTAAATGAGAGCGACTTTTGGGNCAGGATTTTACACGAACTTGCAGGAAGTTGCAGGAAAAATGTTCCCGTACTCTGAAATCCTCCAAAATCCTGTAAATGAGAGCGACTTTTGGGAAGTTGTGTAGAGAATGAAGTTGCAAGATTTTACCCGAACTTTTTCTTTTGGTAAAATCATGAAAAGTGTCAAGCAATCACTGGTTCACGTTTTTACAGGAAAAATGTTTTTTTTGTTGCCGTACTTTTTGTTGTTACTCACTTTTTACTCTCACTTCAGAGAGTAATTTTGCTGTTTGATAGTTTTACTGGATTTTTCACGAAAAGTACTGTATCAGAGCTAATACCGTATTGTATTTGCTGCGGTAGTGACTGCTAATATTAGCAGTAACTGCTGATTTTAGAAACTGTCACTGCCACTGCCGCTGCGCTATTGTATTTTGGGCTTTTCCCTTTCTTCTTGTCATTTAGAACCAAAATTTGGTTAATGTACCTTGTTTAGAACCACAGTATTCAGTAAACCAACCATTGACAATATGCTTATTTGAAAATTAATACATGAAATACTGTGCATGTATAGGATTTTTTTGTTATTAACCCATAGGCAACGACTGGTGCAAAAGTACCCACAAATATTTGTTGATATATTTGACATGTAAATTTGAACAGCGAAATTCGTAAAAAATAATAATGATACAAAAATATTGTTAATCACTACATGGGAGGTGGGCGTGGTTACTGACAGCTTTCGCCAAATTGAATACTAACCTAAATTATACCAAAGGCAACTTCGGCCCTGACTTTCGTTGAACTATCTAAATTTTGTTCGAGTTAACGTGTTTAAAAAGAGACACGGCTGAACCAATTCAACTCGTCATTCTGAATATTTTGATAAATATTTATGTATGCATATGTGTATATATGTACATACTTTTTATACGGTTGACAAACTGGCTCGCTTATCTGCATAAACCGTCTTTATTTGCATTAACTCATGCATTATCTCTTTGCAAATGAGAAAAATCGGATGGACTAATACATAAAAATTTCGTGCATTTGCTCGAACGTGGAGATATAATTTTGTGTACATATTTCATTAAAGCTATTAAGGTATCTACTATAAGAGTGGTATATTTGAAAATAAGAGAGAGTTCTACCTTTAAGCTAAGTAAGTACTCTTTCTGCCCCTAAATTTTTTAAAGTCAGCCCACCATTATTCACTGAAAGTTGTGTTCGGAACACGGTTTGACTTATGTAGGAACTGCATCCGGTCATAATCACTTACGCTCCACGCGCGATTTGCTTGAAATTTTGTTTTTCCTGTTATTTTATTTTATGTGACTTGAAAATATTTTTCATTATAAGAAAATATTGATATGGGATTTCATTTCATATATACCCTACAAACAAATGCTCCCGAAATCTTTAAGAGTGTCGGAAATTTGTTACGATTCTTTTAGAAATCTGTAAAAAAAAACATATGAAGCGGTTGACAAGAACTAGTAAAGAAATTTCTTAAGAATTTCTTAAAGAAAATTGTTAAAAAAATTGTGAAACCTTTCAGAATTCTATGAAATCCTGATATGCAGGGTATACATATACACACGAATATGAATAAACAAAGAAGACGTTGATGACACAAGGAGTTCATACCAACGGTAAAAGTTGTTTTTGTACGATTGCTACAACCTGTAGTTGTTGAATCATGCACGTGTGAAAGCAAATAGAAAACACAAAAGACAATGCGAAAAAATTGCTTTCAAGACTTGACGTGTCTGAAAGGGGACTAACGTTCTGCTGACGATGTCCAAAAAGAGAGAAAGGGACGCAACCAGTGTTGCCACACATAAGTTTTTCCTACCAAAATTCATGAACCAAAAATACAAGATCTCGCCTTCTTCTTAGTAGCCCGTTATAATCGCATTTAGGAAAAAAGTTGGGCGACTTTGACATTAACCGTTTGTTAACATTTGTTTGTTGTTTACAATTTGGCGGTAGCTTTTTACTGCAATTTTCGCTTGTGACAACGTGTGCACACATAAGGTAAAGAATAATTTAACACAACGACATGATTTATAGGAGAATTTGCATAATAAAAATGATTATTCATGCGTTCAACAATTACGCGTTTTTTTTGTTCTCTTCGTTGTTTACTTCTTACAACAAAGATGGCGTCGAGATTTCAACAGCTAGAAAATAACTTTTTTCTTTCTTTCGGGAAGGCGTGATCTTGTGTCTTTCGTTCATGACCAAAACTGGTAGGTTTTTTTCCATTCGGTAAATTTAAATTATCTCCAAATAGTTTAGCAACCTTGTTAACACGAATATTTCAACGGCGCGATCGTATAACGTCGACCGCAATCATGTGAATATACCTGACTTGTATGTACAAACGCATACCCTTATAATTTCCAATATACCTACAATATGAACATCCACGTATAATTTATGTGCCTACAAGTTATCTATTTAATTTAAATTGAACTACAAAGTTGTGATATACTATTTACATACCTATATGTACTGAAGACTGGTGCGCTGAAAAGGCTTGCCAATAAACCCACTGAAGTCCCCTATTGTCCCGTTATTAAAAAGAAGGAAAGTCAACTTGACTATACCGACGTTGGTAGGAGAGAAATTGAGTTCTCAGAAGAGGCGTAGTATCTATGGGTTACTCTAGACCAAAGGGTCAATTGGAACTCACATCTCTTGAATGTTACTAACAAGGCTACAAGGGCGTTTCATGGCTGTCAGGGGGCTTGAGGCAACAAAAGGGCTGACTATCTCGCAAAGCGTGGAGCCCAAATGCACTGGCGTGGTCCCGAGCCTTTTGTGACTGCCCACGTTTCATGAATAGAATCAGTATTTGTATCAGTCCACCTTGGTTAACGATTGTCTTCTCCATCCAAAATTTGGAACATGGCACCCTCCAAAGTGCTTAGCTTCATAAATAGCCTAAGATTGGAGTGATTTCACTTAGCGTTTACACAATAGATATTTTTAGGTCACAGCGCGATTACTCCCGACGTTATAATAAAAATAATATGTATGTGTAAAGGGACATACATGTGTTAAGTCTGTACAGTAAAATGAATTGTTAAACGCAGCTAATTTATTTTTATTGTACTAGTTGTGTTTTAGTTTTACTAAATGTTATGCCACCTAAATTTTTAATAGATATTAAAAAAAAAAAACAAAGAAAAAAAATTTGGTAGTTTTGGTTGGTTTTGGTAGGCAATTTTATTAGAAAAAGTGTTCGTGGCAACACTGGACGCAACAACGAAAAGGCCGAAAATGACAATGCCGATTGAACGAAAAACAGAAGCGAGCTAAAAAGGAAAAGTTAAAAGTAGCGAATGAGACTGGAAGAAAAAAAAAACGAAATCAAGCCGAAAACCTCCTGTTTTTTAGTGACGAATCACGGCTGAACGCATTTTATGCATTGTTTTTGAAATGCATTGGTTATAAATGTGTAACAAAGAGAAATACTGCAAATAATAGAAGAAATTTTATCAAGATCAGTGTATTTGTGCAGAAATTCAGCCAGTTCTCGTGCGTTTAGGTGTAAG